ACAAACAAACAACCACCCACCCTACTATATATATATATATATATATATATGTAAGTAGTGTGCTATATATATATATATATGCGTATTGTTATTTTACACGTATGAGGTGTTTCGTATCGTATTATGCATATATATCGATATACCGAAGCAATAGCACACATATAGAATCAAATACATAGTACTACCTTGTATGTAAAGATACGAGAATTCATATATACGTTTGCATACTATACCTTGCCTCATCTAATGAAGCTGAACAATCATATTATTATATATCAATTGCACCATTACTATACCAGAAACCCTATATGCACTCCAGGAATGTATGCACTCCAGGAAGCAAGTATGCACTCCAGGAAGCACCTGATCAAAATAATATTTGCTTACCTCAGCATATACAAAAAATGTCGTACGTCCATATGGTCGTCTGCAATTCTCAAAATATATCGATACAATTGCTCACACTTTTTGAAACAACAATTTTAGTAGTATATACACAGATGACAAAACAAGTGCATGTACTTCAGTACCTTCCTAAGTTCGTTCATATCTGACATTTTGAGCGAAATTCTATGTGCGGATTGGAAAAATGAATATCTTTTTCTGTTCGGATTTAGATCGTCTTCGACACAGGTTTTGGTACAACTGGTAAATGCAGTTACAATCCAAAATAACAGTTGTGTCGTGAGAGAGACTTTCTCGGCTATGCACTAAACGCTATCGTTGTTCAGTGTGTACACGTAAGACGTAACTGATATTATATAAACCGTCTGTATTATAGGCAGCTCTTAGTGTCAAGTTGTGTGTATTATTTACAAAAATAATGATGCCTCTACATTTGATTGCCGCCAAAATATTGGTGCATGGCGTAATCATATTGGCTGAATACTTCCAACGATGTTTTTACTGCGACCTGTAGGCTGTATGAAGGCAGGGTTTTTAAATAAAAGTTTATATCTCGTGTACACAGCCAACTATATAAATATGTATTCTTTTATACTATAAACCGAGTTTTACCTGCAGGGCATACACACACTCTCTCTAGTCTGACTCTACTACTAGTTTCTAGAGAGACTCTAGACTCTCGCTCTCTAGAGAGAGTAGTAGTAGAGAGACACCCCAATCACAATGGCTCAATAAGAATGAAGCTTAAGAACGTCGATTGGATTGGTTTAGCTGTGATTTGTGTCATCACTTTTTGAAATTTTGTATCTATATGTATGAAATTTGTGTCAGTTGAAAACTTGGGGATTTTTTTGTAGCGATTTAGTTGTTATTGTGATTATGTTTCTTGTGTGTCGGAAAATTGATGACTATGCAAATATTTTAGTATGCCGTTCATGTGTAGCTCGGTACAACAATGTAAACACAGAATTAAATACCGACAACTTAATTTACTACCGAGCTCAGCTCTCTCCGCCAAGCGGGGATATGTTCACAAGTTGTAGGTTTACGCATAAAAGTATAATAAACCGAAATGTATTTTTAATATTTTTTAATTCACATGGACAGCTTATCAGGCTATGGTTGGATTGGCTGACAAAAGATATTTGCGTTGGTGATGAGCGAGGAACTGATGACAACCATCATACCTCATGAAAAGTGCATTGGGGGTACAACCTCTCGCTCGCGAACGAATCAGAATCAAGGTTGACGTTCAGTCTCGGACACTTTTCTGATGGTTCTTTCTCGCTATCGTTGTGGGAGACTTTAATCACGTCTCTTTAGTGAGAGAGACTATTGGCTATACTGATACAGGAAGTACACATACGAATATAAGGGAGAGTTAGATAACTGAATTCATCATCCTATATAGATACAATAAGCGTGTCTACAACACTGTTAAGAATCAGTTTAAACATATCTACAACCGAGCACATTCTATCATCATGGGAAGAGTACACATCAGTCCGCTGGAGTTTGACACCACCCCTGGAGTCCTGGGAGCTGCGATCAAGGAAGTGACTGGGAACGACGTCAATCCAGAGGATATTATGATGAAGGATGGCTATGGTACGTCTTGCCTTACAAATAATGTTATTTATACATACGTTGCTGCTTGACAAATGTGTGAGCTACGGCTCTTAGATTCACAGTTACAAATGGGTGACTGGCTTTCGATACATTAAGTGCTACAATTGTCTTTCGTCTCGTAACCATTGGAAATCGTGATCTAAGCTACACTACACGAGAAGGACTGGTCCGTGTATCACGCAGTTCATTAGAATAGATTTTATGGTTACATCACAATCTAGACTAATTCAGAATTTAGGTTGTGTTGAACTCTTGCCAGTTTCGTATGCACACCAATTGTTCAAATTCACGGTATACATTACAATTGATAACCGACGTATATATAAATATATACATATATATATATGTAATTAGAAATAGTATGTATAATATATATATATATATAGTATATATATATATATTTATAGTATATGCGAATGTTAATGTATATAAACACACACATATATATATATTTATATTTATATATATATGCATGTGCGTGTGTGAACAATATATATTTATATATATATATATACGTATATATATACATGTATTGTATAATATATATATATCTATATGTGTGTCTTTGTGTCTCTATACATACATATATATATAAATATATATATATATATATATTATATGTGTATGTGTATGTATATGTATGTTAACATATATGGAGAGATATGCCAACATATACCTGTACACCTACCAATATATTTATGTATGTGCATGCGCACATATATATATATATATATGCATGCGCACATATAAACACACACACATATATATATATATATATATATAGTGTATCGATGTGTATTTCCTTTTGCATGTACATATACGCATATATATGTAGGAGTATGCATGCGTTTTTTTGTTAAATATACGTATATCGTTCAGTAGAGGACCTCATACACGAGTCGGTTGGTCCACAACTGAAGTATGTGTACACATCTGATTATTCAGAAAACGAACATCCAGACGCAATGTACGTCTTTGTATAGTTGTGTAAGTCGTTATATCTGCTGTCGTTGCTAACGTTAATCAACCTCATACGGAATGTCACCACATCACACAGCCTTCGTAGATTTCGCAACAGATGCAGAGGCGCTACTGTGCCGAAAGAACTTCAGGTCCATCCACGGTCGCAAGTTCAGCATCACAGTTATCCGCACACGAGCTATGACTAAACAGGTTGAGAAGCGCAGGAAAGACACAGCCGAGGACGGCGAAGAGAGGTGCGTAGGATTGGTACTAAATGTATTGTACTTTTCTACGAATGGCTAGAGTATATAGTATATATAGCTCATAGTTTCACTTGTAAGTGTATTATATTGCACATAGTATATGTAATCTGTGACTTGATTGTAGTATGCGGTCGGACTATCAGTGCATATGAACACACATACCAAGGCCGATCAGATGTTAAGCGCTTGGAAGCACGCAGACGAGAAATCCTTCAGCCAGGCACACGCGTCTGGTGCGAATCTCGCTCGTTTGATTCAATGTTGATACCCCTCCACCACTACATCAACTGCAAGCGGAAAGTCGGTCGCCCGAGCTACCTATCAGCACAAGTATTCACACTACAAACCAAGAATTCGACCCTTTTTGGTCGTAGATACTAGGAGATGCGCGACTAAATATGCGTACGTAAATACATGGACTTACTCTGCATTACCACTTGCACCGCTATGCTACAGGTTACAAAAGATGACAGATGCCGTAAAAACCCTCCTTGAGTGTGTGGGCGAAGACCCCGAACGAGAAGGCTTATTAGACACTCCCGGTATGAGCTCTCTATACATTATTATGTATTGTCTATATATATGTGTGTGTGTAGCATTCGTTCTTGTATCTTCAGTAAGCACATCAGAGTATTCAGGATTTGTTTTTCATCTTGTTGAAAACTTTTGGTACCATATGTCGATTTCTACAAAAATTAATCTCTCCCAAGTCTGCTGTGTGTGATTGTCGCCTTCAGTTGTTATCGTACAGCGTGATAATTAATGTGTCTATCAAGTACGTTTAGTTAGTGGAGTGTGTGATTTATATACAAATGAGCATTGGCATTTGGACATCTGTATACAGATTGTGCATCCGACACTCCTGATTTTTGTGCAATTGGCAACAAGTCTCGGAGTGATATATATTCGAACATGGTTAAAGTGGGAGAGTGCTCCGTAGTACCACACATATTTCGAAATCGTGAAGGTCACGTCTCCTGATAGGCTCGTGGATTTGTTTGTGTACAAGCAAAACTTTTATATATATATATATTGACGCCCTTGAATATGGCATCCTGCTTACCGTTGACGCTCTCCTCATATACGCACAGGACGTATGGCCAAAGCCATGCTCTTCTTCACCAAAGGCTATCAAATATTCCCACGCGAAGTGGCCAACAACGCAGTGTTTGAAGAAGACCACGAGGATATGGTCATTGTCAAGAATATAGAGATATACTCAATGTGCGAGCACCACATGGTACCGTTTACTGGTAAGGTTAGCATAGGTTACATTCCGGACAAGAAGGTGCTTGGGCTGAGCAAGGTGGCTCGCATTGCCGAGGTCTTCAGCAGACGATTGCAGGTAAGATAACCGAATCAAGATGTTCGCTGTTTTAGTTCGTAGATTATAACAAGCAAGTGTAGGGGAGGGCAAGAAGAGGTTTTTTGTGATGTATTAGCACATCTACATTGCTACAATGGGACCTGCGCATTGAGCACATTTGCGTTATCACCAAGTGTTCATATTTCGATGTGATATGAACAAATGGTACGGAATTTTATGTGTCCAGCGAGTGGGTGTTGGTATCTGGCAAGAAATACATGTTTGTCTTGCGTGTGCATGTATTCAATATATGTTTGTCTTGTGAGTGTATTTATTGAATATATGTTGTGTCTTGTGAGTGTCTGTATTCTCTATATGTTGTCATGTAAGTGTATGTATTTAATATATTTTGTCTTGTGAGTGTATGTATTCAAAATATGTTCTTGACTATCGTGCACCTTATGTTCTAGGCGTATTGAAATGACTAGTTTGCAAATGATAGTCTGTAGACTCGAGATTGCTCTGGATATATCTGCTGTAGTCGATGTGACAATTGTGGCACCACAGTCAAATTTGAGGGACGCTTTCGCGAAATCCGTACACACATCTAATGCCAAGCATTCTAGGGTGGTCTATTTATCTATGCTTTTATTTATTTTACCTTCATCTGTAACTGCCTGTACACGTAGGTTCAAGAAAGATTAACAAAAGAAATTGCGTGTGCCATCATGGATACGATCGAACCAAGGGGCGTGGCTGTGGTGATGGAAGCCAGGTATGTGTTAAACACGCTCTTATACTTTACGATCTCCGCCGTTTGTGCATTTTTCTACACCACCCCAGATCGATTAAAAACCTTTGTTCTCCGTATGGCGGGGATTAGCTATGTGTGCATATAATTGCAATTTATTCTAATAATTCAGTTCGCAAGCTTCTAATCTTCTGTACTTATTTGTACCACTTCAGCCATCTTTGCATGGTAATGCGTGGCGTGGAGAAGGCGCACTCGTCTACCATTACGAGTGTGATGCTGGGCTGCTTCCGGGAGGACAGTAAAACGCGCGAGGAGTTCCTGTCGCTCATTAAATAGGTTTAAAGCTTGATATATAGGAGTAATATTTAACTAATAATGGCACTCATAAAATAGCATCTAGAAGTTGAGAATAGAAGTGAGAGACATTAAACCCTTAACCAATCCGATCTGACTAGTATCGGAATTTATTGGTGCAGGTTTTGTTTGAGCGGGCGCGGTTTATTGATGGTAGATTGAGTGTTATTGTGATATTGTCATGATATTAAAGGTTTTCTTTGAGAATATGCAATCGACAGGTTCGTTTGCGGCTAGCATTCGCCTTCTGCATCACATTCATCACCCTACTCCTCGACAGAATAGATAATTAGCTGGAAATTGGGGTGTTTTGACTCTTAACAAACATCTGGCAAGTCCTTAAATCGAGTAGCATACTCGATTTAGGTTCACATGTCGAGTAACCAACATGCATACCAGCCGTGTACCCTGCCTTTATCTTTTGCCCTTGAAGAATAGTGCAGCCATCATGGCATTCCCAAGAAAGACACAGCAATAAATTGATGTCCGACTACCGTTCGTAGCAATCGTGTTGGAGGATACAGGCGAAAGTGTGGCACACCAAACAGCTAACGTGAGAGCCAGAGTACGTACGTCGAGCAACCAGGGCTTCCCAGGACGTGGTGTGCGTCCAGACACGTACTACGCTTTGTTCGTATCTGTGTAGTTCATGAGCTCAGTCAGTATCATGGCACTACTGCCTATCGGTTGGTGTGACGTGCCGTAACCGTGGCAACATGGCAGCCAGCCAGAGATGCCCTTCATCACATCCAGACCTTTAAATCACACATGTACCCCTTTGTTATAACACTTGGTATCACTGAAAGATGTTATCTTCAATCGATGCACCTAGCTTAACCAAACATCGCAACGGCAAGCACGGAATGACCAAAAGGGTTTCCTATGGTGTCCAAAATCCGCGAGACCGTGAACGAGACAACGATGAGAGGCTACAGTCGTTTAGGGATCAGTCCTTATGCAAACTAATCCTATCGCTATTACCCTGTGATAACATTTGAGTTGGATATGACTACGTCAAATTATACTGTGTGCGGTGGGTAAGGTTGTTTTAACCGACGACTCATCCATGTTTGCATTGACTGAGATTGCGCAAAATGTATACTCCGCCCAGACACTCCTGCATGGGTTTAGTTGGGCACTTCCATAAAGGTATTTTGTCTCGGATGAGATGCACGCTCTCCCATTCGGAACCTGTGCGAACATTTTCGCTACAAAGCAAGGTACACATATCTGCGATAAGCTTACATCTCGATGTGGATGTCATGCCGATCGATAAGACTTCGTTGCCAGACGCGTTTGGCTGGTGCTGGTGCACAATGTGCTGGAAAGCCTGTGGTGTATGCTTACTCTCATCACAATATGCAGCGGACCCTTGTAGTAACACACATTGCTATGTGTTGTGATCTATGTCGTAGTCGTAATGTACATATGCCTGGGCCCCTGAACAGCTCTCTCTTTTTTTTTCTGGTCTTGAATACATTCTTGTGTTATTCTGTCTGTGCCTGTGACTACAAGTTATGAGTTACCTTCGCGGATGCTATTCGCCAATTTGACGTCATCCCGTGACAATATATCACGTACTTCAATCAGAGGAGAGTTCGCATTATCTACACATACGCAGCTACTCGGCACAGCACGGGACGAAATATCTATAAGACGTTGCTTGATCCGTATATCCTGCCTGCATTCTACTGTTAACCCCGCCTCTTTATCAGTATACATAGGATAGCGGTACTGGACGAGACGACACAGCTGTCAACGTTCCGAATTTCACCTGCCTCTGAAGCAATCGTGCTTTACCTCAACACGTGATTTGACAAAGGATATCACTCGAGTACTCCCCAAGGTGCCACACGTGCGTACTCCTGTTGTTTCCGTCTTACTATTCGGATCACAGTCAGCTAGGGTGCACATCCCGAGAAGGCGATATATACACGGAGGATGTCCCGGTTTAGGAAAGTACGCCTGCCTCAATATTCGACTTTCCAGGCTTCCGTGCCACACTACGATAGCAGTAGCTGATCTAAGTGCCACGATGAATGGCGTTCCGTGATGGACCCATTTTGAGAAAACATTTTGGATCGGAGGCACTGTTGCATCCTACCGGAGCAGTCCTACTTAATGCCAACAAAGATACGTATGGAATACTGCAACGTTACCTGGGAGGGCCCGTGCTGAGATAGGCGGTGCCCACTACCTGCCGTACCTCCTCAAGGTGTTCGGAAAGCGCGGGAGAGATGAACTTCATGTCGAGGACTGGTCGAACACACTCACAAGCCGCCATGGCAACCACGCGCTGGAAGATGAGGAATGGTATGGATGCTTTTACATTTGTAGCATCTTTTGAGTATACATTATACTTGAAGTCTATTTCGGACCTGTGCAAGCATCAACAGGAAGCTATCAAAACAGACATGCTTTCATGAGACTACTACCGATAGCACAATAAACTCAAATATGCTAGAATATCTCTTATCTTGCAGTTAACCCCAGATTTGGAATGAGTGTGGTGGGGGCGCATAGTGTGCGACTGCAGCACTAGGTACTAGATACATGTAGATATGCGAATCATTTTCACGCCCTGTCCACAATAAGATAAAGTCACGTCCACGAAGTCGCATTGTACACCACACTACTCGGCACTCTTGGCCATACCCTGCACGGAGTGTCGCTGAGCTGGAAGATGGAGAACATATGCTTAGTACCCTCGATGTGAATGTACTGGGTCTCCTGGGCTGGATCATTAATTTTCCGCTGGCTTTGTGCTGTATATATATAAATGTGAAAACTCCAATTGATAAGCAATTTGTGCGATCCGTACATATGGGCATTGGTGTGGGTTTGTTTGGTTCTTGCAACGCAGCCCCAAAACCTACGATCGAGGGATTTATTGAGGGATACGAAATCGATGCCGGAAACTTCTCATATCTATTTCGAGCGTTGCAACTTCTATCGAGCATAAAATACCCCATACTCATAGCTAGGCATGCAGCCTCAAGATTGGATAGCAGAGACACTCAAACAGATATTTGCTTATGTATCCAAGAACATATATCAACAATGTCGTAAAATCGGGTATGTACGACCGAACTCATCAAATCAGACACAACGACGCTACAAACACAAGTCATGCATTAATATGATCAGAATTAGGAACGATAGTTAACCAACTCGTGCGGGATATCGCATATCTCCATACCAAGTGCTCGGGCAGAGTTGACTATATCATCCAGCGGCATCAGCAGTTCTTCAGGGGAATGGATACCGACCATTGACTTTTCCCTCGAACTGTCCGAGGTCGCTCTGAAGATACAAGACACAGCAACGAGGTAAGACACCAGCTGAAATGGTATAAATTAATGAATATATATCTATATCTATATATATATATATATATATATATCTATATATCTATATATATACGTACAGACATACATACATACATACATACATACATACATACATATATATATATATATATATATCTATATATATATATATATATATATATATATTTATTATATATTATATATGGTGTTGTGTGTGTGTGTGTGTA